AATTTTTGTTATCGAGTTAAGAGAATTTCACTTTATTGCGCCATAAAGCACGATTACCGTAACAACGTGTAACCAAAAAGAAGAAATAAAAAGATATTCAGGTGAATTTCGCACGGTTTTCTAAAAATTTGAATTTTAAATTAAAATTCATGCAAGTTATTAAGTATATATTATACATACTAAATGTGTTTTAACCACTTACCAAATTTATAGATAGAGATAAATATTTCATGGGATTTCTCATGAAAATCTCCTTGAATTTTAGTAATGTAAAGCATGAACACTTTGTAAAGTTAATCGTGTTAAGAGTTAATCAAAATTTAATGTTATATAATCTTTTTATATATAGTAAAAAATATGTTTTATTTAGATCATATCAAAAGAGAAATTAATTGTATTAATTATAATCTTCATAAGATCAGTAAACTTGAATTTATTGTTTTATGTTTATTTCATAAGGAAATCCTGAATTAATCTAATGAATACGTTTAAATTAGAAACAAATCAAAATATGAATAATAAAATAATTAACAATGCTGAAAGACTGCGGTCAATAACACATTTTATTTAGTTGTATAATAAATTTTATTTTTTATTACAATATCATAATATAATAAAAACAAATATGTAAAAAATAACTTAATAAGACTAGGCCTTTCTGCCCTAATTTAATTAAACTAAACTAATTTAAACACAGTATGTATACTACTTGGAGAAAAAGCACTTGCAACGTGTATTTCAATAAAGGATGTAAATATTCATTATAAACTAATTAGAACAAATTAATTTTTAATTTATGTAGAATGAATTTAATAAATAAAATTATCTAAAATATTAACATTAAATAATATACGTAAACTATAGCACTTACAAAAAGAGATACTAACAGTATGTTTTTGTTCATATTCAGTTAACGAAATGAAATTCGTACATATCACATTCACACTAAAGCTCAACTGTGTAAGACTTGATGGACAAGATCTGTCCAAAGCAACATAAATCAAATATCTCGACGTGCATCTCGACAGAAGACTCACATTCAGGCTAAGAAGAAGCAACTAAAAATAAAGTCTAGAAAACTCACTGGCTTGTAGGGAAAAAGTCGGAATTATTAGTGGACAATAAATTACTTATATACAAAAACCAGTATGGACGTATGGTATCCAATTGTGTTGTGCGGCCAGTAAACATACGAACATACAAATTATACAAAGGTTCCAATCAAAATGCCTAAGAAATATTATTAGGGCTCCATGGTTCGTCAAGAATAAACAAATAGTAAGAAAATGCAGTCATACCTCGACTAACAAATACGAAATACTTTGTTAAGCGAAACTTCGTATTCAGAGGTGATTTTACAAAGAAAATGACTAAAATTTTAATAAATAAAAAACCCAATTATATAGAAAGTAATATAAGATTTAAAATGTGAGCCAAAAGTTGAGTATTTGTGTTTTTCCCTCTTTCATTTAATAATTAACTATATAAAGTTATTGCATATAACACTTAACACATTTTCACTAATAAAGAACAAACGTTTACGATGTCATTTACTTTATATTTGTTGCTAAGAATATTTTTTAACTGTTATATACAAAAACCATCATCTATTGCAGGGTTTTCTAAACTATGTTTCGTGTAACGTGAAAAACTGTACTGAAATAATTACTAAATACATAATGAATATTTTTATTAATTATGTGTTATATCTACCCGCACAATATGCATTCCCCATTCTGGATCTAATATAGTTTGCGAGAAAATCAATGAAATGTGAAAACACTTCTTTTCAAGCGTTAATTTTTCATATTTGTATTCAAATTTAGACAGCTAAATGGACGAAACCACACTAATTTATAAATACTCGCAATATTCTCCAAAGATCCAGCATTCAAATATATCTTCTGGATCCGTTAAACGTATAATTTTCTAGAATAAGTTTTCAAAAGTGTAGTTTTTCCAAAAAGTGACGAATCACTAATTGAATGATTAGCAACAACGTGCACAAAAACAATGAAAAACAACTTCTATGTGCCGCAGTAAACACAATATTGCACCGATATTTGGCCATAGGTTACGTTAAGTGTCATAGATGGGAGAAAGAGAATATAAATGTGGTATCGTTTCTTAGAACATTGGTGTACCTTTTACACCGACGCGAGTAGTTAAAGGTTAAATTGCATTATATATTTTAATAAATGGGTCTTCGCTTATTGCTAACCGATATATTTCAAATTGACGGCAAAATTTTGCAATGCAATGCGATCTATATCTGCTGAATAATAAATAAATATACAGTGGAACCTCGAGCATAATCTGTTCCAAAATTTCCACATATAAACTAATGTAATATACGATAATGCGTTCCATTTTGGAGTCATTTTTCTTACAATTCATTTTGCTCGTTAAGCGAAATGCTTATTGTGCGAGGTGCTCGTTAAGCGAGGTTCCACTATATATTCAAATCATGAAAGTAGTGAAAAAAAAATCAAAATCAGTATAACGGCTTATTTTTGTATATATGGTAAAAACTATTTTTTGTTGTTATAAATAAATATTGTTATCTCCGTACTATAAAAAAAATCCGGTCGCTGGATTTTGCACTATAATTACATAAAGATTAGGCGTTGCATGAATAACAAATTCAGTTTACAAAACACGATATCAAAAACGAGAAAGAGAGAGAAAACCAGAGCAAACCTAATAGAATTGTCGAATGAATTCAACTCCAGCATTACGTGTTTCCAATTGATTGTTTTTAATTCTGCAAATTTAATTCATCCATATTTGCTCGCACATAGAAATTAATACAACAACAACAACAACGGAATAATAACAAAAAATATATGTATGAACGAAAAGCGCACACCGCAAATCCCGATTCTGCATATTTACGTTAGCATTATGCTATGAGGCCAAGCCACACCACGCCATTTATTTTTCATTTTCAATGCTGAATTTTTTTTATTGTACTATTTTTTCGGTATTCGTTCTCCCATTAAATATTCCCAAGCTGTATGACGGTTTATTTGCATATGATGTTTGTCCCTTTTTCGTACACCGCAGGCTTCTGTTTAATTCTGGTTTACAATATAGTGAGGGTATGTGTATATCATTGTTGAGAATACGGAATGATGAATGGACATCACTTTACGCACAAAAACAAATAAATATATAAATTGTGAACAGAAAGCGTGCAATTTTGGATTTAATTCAAGATGATTTATTACGTTTACATGTTTATTAATTAATGGAACAAAAGAACTGAAAACATAATTAGTTGAATAATGCACGGCTATTTACATCTACATTAAATATAAACTGTCCGTTGCATAAGCAATGGATTGTTAATGAACAATTTCTGTTACATAAATCTGAGTTAATGGGATCGTTCAATATTAATTTAACATTGATGTTATCTATAAACTGAATGCAACGTTAATTAAGTAGATTTAATATCATTAATTAATTAATATTGTTAAGAATATCAAAAAATCGATAGCATTATTGATAAAAAAATATAAACATTAGTGTTAATTTAAATTATTATTTATCATTCACACATCTTTCTTAAGCCCATTTCTTAAAAGGCTTATCGACATAAACCTTGCAAAATTAAATTTAAAATTAAATTAAATCATAATACCCAAACCAGGAAAACTTGCCAAAGGAATCATAAGACTCATAGTCTTCTACCGATATTATCAAAAGTTTTCGAAAAACTTTTTGCTAACCGATTGCAACCTATTGTAGCATCAAAAAAGCTGATACCAGACCATCAGTTTGGCTTTCGTTGCAATAGATCAAGTAAACAGAATAGTAAATATCATCTACCAAGACCTGGAATTTTACTGCTCGGTTGCCTTTTTGGACATATCGCAAGCACTTGAAAAAGTTTGGCATCACAGACTACTATACAAATTAAAGAAGAACTTGCCACATACTTATTTAAAAATAATACCTCGATAATAGTATGTTTCTGGTAAAAATAGAACAAGAATACACCGATGTATAACCAATCGAATCAGAGAAGTGTATTATGACCGGCAGATATTCCTAAAACTAGCAATACTACGATTTCAACATTCGCTGATAATACAGCAATCTTGGCATCAGATGAGTATCCAGAAGTAGCATCTGAATAGCATCTACAGGAAAATTTACATAAGCTACAAGAAGATATGTCCAAATCAACAAAATTCTAGATATTTGAATTTTGTTGATTTGGACATATCTTCTACATCTCGACAGATGATATACCTGGAAAGACCACATTCAGGCTAAGAGGGACCAATTAGAAATAAAGTTTAGAAAACTCTACTGTCTTCTAGAGATAAAGTCGGAAATATCAGTGGAAAATAAATTACTTATATAAAAAGTAATGCTGAAACCAGTGTGGACGTATCCAATTGTGGGATAAAGCCAGTAAATCGAACATACAAATTATACAAAGGTTCCAATCGGTCGAGGATACAATACCAACATTTAGTAGTAGATACCAAGAGAGACAAGAGTCACATACTAATATAGACTATTGGCCTATTCGAGAACAGTGAAACAATAAACAACCTGAAGCGTTGCAAACTACTAGATTTAGTTTATAGATTTAAATATTTATTAATGTTCAAAATCATCATAATGGTAACTATCCACCAGTAAAGCTTATACATTTAATGTCAACCGCGAATAAATTTACTCATTGTTCACATTGATTAAACAGATTCTGAATGAAATTATTACCATATAAAATAAAATAAATCTATATTATATTTACAAAAGATGAAAATATCACTATATACTGATTTAGAAATACATCAATAGCTCGCTTAGGACTTTTAAATCGCGGAAAAAAGACTTACCTTTACAAACGTTTTTTTTTGTATTAATTTTTGAGAATGTATTTTTATTTTGTAAAATTATAATTAAATTTGTTTTGAAATTTAAACCATTTCAAATGTTTTAATTAAAATACATATAAACTTATATGTATTGTGTTTCAGATGAATGCTCAGAAGATCATCATATTGGCTGCTTATTTTCTAACAGCTCTAATTGCTGTGACAGCTACAAAGGGATACTATCACAACGATAAACGAGCAAACGGTGAGTACACAACTATTACGTAAGGTCATTTTTATTATCAATAAAATTTCGCAAGATTTTGTTTTTTTATTATTATTGAAAATTTTAGGCAAATTCTTTGTAGAGTAAAGAATTTCAATCTTATACAGAAAGTTAAACTCCATTAACAAAATTATTGTTTTGTTACTATTTCTTCATTAAAAAACATTTATATACATGCAATTTATAAAATCGTTGACTTTTTATTTTATAATTATTATTGTATTGAATTTTTATTATTGCAATAAATGTTATTATTAATAAATAACAACGAAACCGCATACATCTGTAATCATACATCTTGTATAAGTCTCTATTTGGTCATTTGAACTAATTTTCTCATTCTAAGACATCTTTCATTTTTTAAGTCCTTAGTTAATACTATAGAAGCTTTCGTACTATATTTAGTAGATTTACCAGAATAGTTTTTAAAATTTGTTAATATCTTTTATGCACGTAATTTTTATTTATTCACAAATGTTTCTTGTTCCTAAAAATTCAGATGAACTTTCATTTAAATATTGTTTAAATCATTTATATAATTAGTTTTGGGTTGTAAATATTCAATCTATTGTAAATGCAAAAGCCCTTATATTATTGTCTTATCACAAGTGATCACATATTTTTTTATATTTATAATATCTAATATGTATAAGGAAATAATTCAAGATAAAAAAAAATATAATCAAATAAATATATTATACTATACTCATATTGATTTCTTCATATAAATATCTTAATAAAAGATTAAAAACAAGCCAAATATCTATATTTCTTAGCAATATGAGAGAAAAATAAATGAACATCTAGAACTATTACCATTAATATATAATTTGTTGGGTTTTACCTTTGCTTTTTCCTTTTTTTACTGTACTTGGATTAGAATTATCAGATCTCCCCCTTTATTCGTCTCTACAAAATACCAGGATTACAGTGTCTTTAACGTAGAAAAAACAGGCACAAAAAAGAGGCCAAGATAAATTCGTTTGTAAATGCCAGTGAACAAAAGAGAATTTAACTTTCAGTCATTTCATTTGTTGTAGTTTGATTGAAACACTAATCTAATTCTATTGGATTTTTGTAGATTATACATATATCATTTGTATTATGAATGAAATAATTAAAATTAATATAACTTAATTCAAAATAATTTAAAAAAAAAATTACTCGCGCATGAAATTTCTATGTACAACTCGCACGGTGTATTTTATACACCACATGTATTAGTTCCAGACGGAATGCATAAATGAATGAATTATGGCAAGAAAAAACTTTTCATGTTAACTAATGCTTTTTTATTAGATTCATAACTATTTGCAACATATTAATATAATAATTTCTGAATCAGAACTGTCGTCTTTGTCCTGTCTATATAAGCGTGAGTAAATGTATCAGCATTGTTTGCTATTAGACCAATACTGCACATGCATTTGAGCTGCAGTCAACACAATATTGCACCGGTATTTAGTAAACACTTTGAGCATAGTTTACGTTAAGTTTCATAGATGGGGGAAATAAACTATATATGTAGTATCATTTCTTAGAAAATTAGTGTACTCTTTCCACCGGCGCGAGTAGTTAAAGGATAATTGAATTTATTTGCAAATAAATAGATTGCACTAAAATAAATATTAAAAGAAATTAATTCGTTAATTAATCATGACTTGTATTGGTATCAAATATGTCCTTCCATCATAATGTCATATAATTCCTTGTTGACTAAGCTAACATTTGTCTAAATTTCCCTAATGTTAGTGCTATCATTATTTTTATTTAAGTTGGTACAAATTAGATCAATTGCAAACATCAGTTTACCTGGTACCATAGTAATATTTACATTAGATGTATTTATGTATTTATCAGTATTTATTTTCTTTTTTTCGACTGTGAAGGCTTAAAGGTCGTCCTACATCTTCCTAATTGATATTTTTCTTTTGTCTCTAGAGCTTGACGTGTCTGTTATCTTCGCACTCCGTCCATCCTTATCACAACGTCTACCCTCTTCAAGTGTTTCATTTCCTTTGTATTTTACTTCTGATCCTTTTTACCATTTAGTACATTGTCCATGCAATATCTCAAGTATTTAATTTACTTTTTCTATATTTCCATACAAAATAATCTATACTATTCCATTTTTTCATACTTTCTCGATAAACCTTGAACAAAAAATAAATATTAATATATAAAAGCATTTATACAATTTTTACTCATACATTTTCCATGTAAATTTTCCAATTACATTTTCTATATTTTCTTGTAAAATATAATATTTTCACAATAAAAATTGTAACATTAATTATAAAAGCATCAATTTACAAGTTTTTAATATAGTTGGGACAAATTACATCAGTTATAAACTATTTTACTATTCTCTTACAATTACTCGAATTAAAATGAAAAATAACATTGATCACTATAAAAGCATCAATACAAATTGATGAATAGTCTTTTGGACATTGTACTTCAGCGCATTCTAACTGTCACCCACCTACAAGAGAACACTTTTAAGAGTTTCGAAAAATTATATTTATGATGGAGTGAACGAGAAAAGCATAGTGCTGGCTTAGCAACATATGATCCTTGCTAGAAAAATATTTTCCTTCTATAAAATTTCATTTATAACCCAACGACGCAACGCAATTTCATATGCTGCACGTTGCGATATACATGCGCAATTTTCGCCACGAAATTTAGATTTAATGTCATCCGAAAGATTCGTTAATAAACAAAGTTTTAATGTTCAATTTTTGTTTTCTCTTCTACAGATCGGCCGTTTATGATGGGGATGAGATATGGCAGGGCGGATAAAGCTGCTAAAACAGCCGGAAAGCATGTTATAGTCGCCCCGAGGAACGATAAATTCTTCTTAGCTTCGAGGTAATTCTTTCGCATATTTTTTTTTCTCTCTCTACTTAAACAAACTAACACAAATGACGACGACGGAAAACAAGGACTTTATGTCCCATAAAAAATAATTCATGAATTCCGAGGAGATTGAAGAATGAGAATGACGCTATTATATGGAATATTTGTTTTCTTATTATTTTATGTGCGAAAAAGTTTAAGTTCATAAGTTTTTTTTTATTGTTCATTAAAAATGTGATTCGTTATATAAAACTGTTGCTTTTCTTTATAATTTATTTAGTTTAATTTATTCAATTTTATGATTTTTTTTAAATTTTCATTCAGTGTAATTATTTCATTGGTCACTCAACAACTGAAAAACTATTCAAATCTTTCGAAATCAATTATTTATTGAATACATCAGTTAAAATTATTGACATTTAATTCTTCAAACAAATTGTACGGTCGTTTTGGAAGAAAATTAATTTCATATTTGTGCTCACTCAGAGTTTTCATATATATAATAGTCATAATTTTAATTAATATAGCTTGATGAATCCAATACAACTTATAACAAACTTAATTAATGAAGAGCTACGAGAGTATACTAGAAATAGAGCAGAAAGACCTATGGTCAGTAGCCCTTTGAATCAGTTTATCTTTTTTGTTTTATACTAAAGAACTAAACTATGGTGTAAAAATAGTAAAAGTTTAATTTAATTTTTTGTATTAAATTGTAAGACAAGAAATATTAGATATGAAACTTTTATTAAATATAATCTTAGATATATGTAGTAAATGTGTATATCAAAAGTGTTGATGTGCAGAAGAGTACTATTCCGGATAATTTAGTCCGAAAAGTCCTCGTTAATTCCAGACAATATGCAGTTTTAATGATACCTCAGTCCCAGTATATTCCGGTATGGAACATACGACAAAATTAATGCCTTAGTTATTGTCCTCTGTCTCGCAGGTACGGGAAGAGATCTGGAGGAGAGATGATTTCGAATGCGGCGCAGGCGGCTCTGGTCTTCCCCGTTCCACCGATCTGCGGCTCCGACGAGGATTTGAAATGTACTTACAGCGGCATATCCAACATATACCGTTGCATCCAGAGGCAAGTAGTAACTCATATGCATGTCAATTAGATCGGCAATCAAATTTCCAAATTACTAAAATCTCAATTAACTCCAAGACGTCATCGATCGAAACTCAATTTGTAATCTTCGACTTCCGACATCTGTCCTTTACCTGCCTATATTTCTTGTCTGTATTTTCTCTCGGTTAAAGTTCGCACATTCGCGTTGATAGTGGGTGTTCGACATTATCATAAGCAGATTATGTGTGAAACATACAGGAGCCTGCTGGGAACATAAATATTTGAATACACGGAAAACAAGTTTGCGATGAAATTGAACAGGTCGACAAAAGTGCGTGTTGAAAAAAAGAAGCTGCACACACAGTGAAGATTAACTCGCGCGTTTTTTACGCAGCACGGTAAATCCATTTAGAGTTACGATCTCTACATGTATATTTTAAAAATAGCTTCATCATTTGACAGCAATAGAATCATACAGATTAACATTGAGGAAATCTTTACACAGGTTGAATGTAGTAAAAAAACATATAATAGCTATATATTTTTATAATTTCTAAAATAAAATTATAGCACATAAAGGTGTATTTGATTATCTGACATCAGGTGAGAGGGTAGTTCCAGAAGTAAGCGACGTACCAAAGAAAACACAAAAAAATGGAAAAAATATTTGTATATCACAACATAGTATTCTTTTAGCTCGATATACTTTTCCAACGATGTTCAATAGCTTCGATATCTTGTTTATAGTGAGAACCGTCGAGCTCTACAACATAGCCAGCAACCGCAGACTCCACCTCTTCATTACTGGCAAATCTTTTGCCATCAAGCCATTTTTAAGTTTGGAAAAAGAAAATAATCCGAGGGGGCTAAATCTGGCCATACTAATAATGGATGTGTGAACTGGTGCATTGTCTTGATTATGAAAAAACGCGGCACCCATCTTACCCATCTCCAAATTTTCAGTAAATATGCGATGAAGAACACTTTTTGAAATGTCATGTCTGCTAGCTGGCGTACTGCATGTGGACCACTATTTTGTGGATTTTCTTCACCATTTATAGTTTAACTCCTTTCTTCGACCACTGCGATGTTCAACTTGGCAGCTCGTACAACCTCGTGCATTTCAAACTCTGCCACCAAATATTTTTTTGTTGTAAACAAATGAGCAGACTCCCCTAGGGTAGATCTACCTTGGCATTGTTATTGATTAGACTGAGACCTTCTAAATGAAAACGATGAAGATTTTTCCAAGTTTATAAATTCAGCGTTCACTGTTGATGTCTGTCAAACAAATACTATACAACGTAGCATCTTTAATTTACTAAAAAAAACTATACTCAATTCTTAATTTAACCGATCAGACTCGGCAAGAGTGAATTTTAGTAAATATTGACGCTGCAGAAAACAAGACTGTTTCTGTTTCGACCCTAGTGGATTTTACTAGTTCGGTTTATATGTAAAGGAAGCCCAACAACATATATGATCAATACATTAACCACTGCCGTCCTTTGGATTTTGGCGATAAAAATACGTACTATTTTATAAATTTATAAAAATATATTTTAGTACAAATCATTTTTATGAAAAACACATAACTTTAAATAATATAAACATTCAAAAATTGATAACTAATATACACATCAAGTTCTTAGAAGATATACTGAATGATAACATAAAATCATATTAATATTTCTATCTTTTCGATTCATTCTTGAAATTTCTTCTATAGATTTTGATATTTTAACTTTGAATTTATATAATTTGTATAGTTAAGCACAAAAAAATGTAATTATATACAATGATTTTTTATCAATCTCGAAAGAAAAAAAAAGATTCGTGTAAAAAAAATGGATAATTTTCGGTCAGCAGTATGTTTTGGGTTAAAAACACTAATATTTGAGATTCATATTATAAAATAACATACATGGAACTTACGACAGCGTATGATATTAATGAAAATATACTTTATCTCGTAATATGTTTATTTTATACATTTTATATCAAACGATTTTATAAATACTTTTAATGTTTTGTTTGTTTATATGCGATTTATAGCTTGATTTCAAATACATATTTTCCTCGCTATAATATTTGTACGAATGGCGCATTCCTTTATATGTTCTAGCAGTAATTATAATTACTTTATTGTAAGGTTTCTTAGGGTTATGATTGGTTGGATGCATTTTAATTCTGGAAGCCATACTACGCTGCTTTTTTTAAAATGGAAGTTTTAATATATAATATTTATGTTTACATTTATTTTTAGAAAAGTAATATTATAATTACGTATATTGAATGCGTAAACACACAGTAAATTATCAATGCATTAAGAATAAATATTTTTCTCTTTTTGTTTACAGCTACCGCAAGGATTCCGCTCAAGGCAACGGTATTATGACAACCTCGATTTAAGATGGACAAGGAAGATGCACCTAGTTAATTTAATTTAGTTTTGAAATCTAATTATATCCGAATAAAATGAACCCTATTATATATTGAATGTCGTTCCTTCCACTCGAGGCGAGACAAAATTCTAGGCTGGAAATTTCGTCTCGCCTTAATAACTTTGTTTTTTGAATTAAATATATCTATCTATAACTACTATAACTTCAATTCATGTAAATCAATGTGCAATTAAAGCAAATAAATAATGTAATAATGCAAATTATTTTCTGTATATAATTTGTCTACCTTTCCTTAACAACTTATTCATCATTACCATTTTTAAAATAATATTTTTGTTGTCTAACAACTCAAAAGCTTAAAATTGAAAAGCGCTATGAAATGTGAATGATTTTTGTTTAAACGCAATGGTTTAAAGTAGGATTTATCGGTTTTGGAAAACCGGAAATTTATAAAAAAATCAACTAAAAAACTAGTATATTCCATGGAACGCGCCGTGTAGAACCAATAAAATGACACAAAATACAAATACTCAACTACTCTTCGCCAAAAGCGCCCAGTTCTTCATTAGGAAGAAATTTTGCAAGAAGGAAAAAAAAGTCTGGTACTTGTAATAAATGCGACGTTTTTAGAAAACGAGAGAATATTGTCTATTTCTTTATATTTTCTATCTAAAACAAGGACCTATTTGAGCAATAGATTTATAGACATTCCTTTTTAAAATCATATTCTCTAATTATAAATGATTCTGTTATAGTTTTATGTAATAATATAGAAGTTTTGTCTCGTTAGATTATATTTTGTTATTATTTTAAATTTTGTATAAATAAAAAGAAAATAAGTTATAAAAATCATTATATCTCTATTTTTGGGAAAAATTCGAAAAACCGGTTTAAATTGGTTTTATAGACAAGTTGAAATTTAAAAACCGTTTTTTAAGTCGGTTTTTGTATGAATTTTTAATTATATCATTTACTATTTATTATTAGTAAACATTCAGAAAATTATCCTGAAATTTAAAATCATAGAAAAGCGACTAATTCAAATTTTCTGCTTAAGATAGGGCCTTCTTATTTTCAGAAAAAATGTAGAAAACAATGTGTCCTGGTTATATAAAATTTCAAAATATAACATGGTTGTTGTTGTTTTGAAATCATATTATAAAAAATTAGATTTCCCTCTTTCACGACAGCAGGAAGTATTATTTGGAAAGAAGAATATATGAAAAAAAAAAGAAGATTATGTCTGTTTTTTAATTTTGAATTGATTGCAAGGCGAAATAGCAGAAGTGGAAATGAAATTACCCAGCAGAAAGTTTGGTGCGAAATATAATTACTTTTTAATCAGGTAGTTAGCGCTGATGAAAAGGTGAAACGCGGCGGAAAAATTAACCTACGCCGAAAGGTGACGCAGAGGGAATTTTCTGCCACAGGAAAATGCACCGGAAAATTTGCTGATTATAAATATATATACTTAACAATATTACTGCGGGCAAAATTCGAACACAGTTCGATGGTATTTTTCACGCGAAAAAGAATATGAAATTGAAGAAGGAACTCCTTCATTTTATGCAAACGCGTCGAAAAGGGAATGGAAAAAAATGTTGAGGCAAATTGGGCTTAATTGAAATAAGATGATTACATTCGGCGATCAGACGTGATGTAGATAGCAATCAAAAAGGCAGAGAACGGAGGAATGGGTAGTTCGTAATAGAACTACTTAACGCCAGAATCAATTAGGGTTTGAAATACGTGCGACAAATTGAAATATATTTCAATTATGTTTATTTGGGATCCCTCTCAAAGGCACAGGAATAATAAGAGAAAGTGGCAGACTGCGTTCGGTTTTATAAATACAAAGTGATTAGTTAATGTTCTTTCAATTACAAAATTGATTATAAAACTGCAAAAAAAAGCAAACTACAATAATACCTCGCACAATACGGATTTTCTATAGTCCGGTTTCAAATTTCACAACTAAACTTTAATTGAGCAAAATAAAAATAAATTCTAAAAAATTAGTAAACAAAATTAATTTTTATACATAAATGATCAGATTTTTTTCCTTCACACAATGAAGTCTTGTTTTGTTTAGTTTTTTGTAGGTATTTAATTCCTCAATTAGTCTGGTTTCAAACAGAGATATTGGCGGAACCAATAAAGTTAGTATAAATAATTTTATTACCAAACAAAATTACCAATTAAAACTATTACTAATCAACATTTCTTAAATTAAATGCTATATGTAACAGAAAATGATTACTCTATTCCATTATTGTTGCATAGCTTAAATTAATTAGAACTTTATATTTTCAATGTTTTAATAAAGAAAACTATAAGATTTTTTAAATAAATGATCACTAAAATATGATTTGTGATATATATGATCCTAATTTTAACAAATTTTTGTATATTTATATTTAGTAATTGAGTTAAATTTATATTTATTAGTCATTGTTATGTAAATTATTGTATACAGTCTTACCTCGGTTCACATTACCATAAAGAAGCTTTGATTCGCAATTTAAAATCCTATTTACCTGTAATATAAAAAGCATATGAAAAACCATTGTTTTACAAGGACTCATTTACTGATTGGTTTGTTAAACACTTTTGTCTACAATTTCCCTACAACCATTGAATCTGGGCGTAATAACATCTTTATAGATTATTCGGGCGTAATAACAGTATTATATATGTTGAATATTAAGAAATTATCTAGAAAAAATTATACCAAATATTTAAAAACATTGATATTTGTGGAGCAAAATATGGCGTACTGGTAGGGTTTGTCGGTTTTTAGAGGAAATTTATGTTTATATTTAAAATATAAAAATTAATTATTTTAATAATTTGATTAAAAGAAAAGTTGAAAACTGAAATTAGTTGTAAGGTTTTTGAAAAGGTTCTTATTTAATTTACAAAATCCGCAGAACGTGTAGACCAGTGATTCCCAAAGTGGTCTATATCGACCTCCAGGGGTCTATGACAACCAGGGGTCTACGTCAGTGGTCGCAATACATTTTGAACTTTAAACTTAGAACTTTAAACCACTCCTCGCGAACACACCATTCACACACGAATAAAGTAACCACACTGATTTTTTTTTGTTCTTATTGTTATGAAAATTAAATGCTTCACTCACAAATGCGAATGTGAGACAAATACGTTTATTCGTTTCCTGAATTATGAAAAGGAAAGTGCTAAGAAAATATAAACTAGTAGTTTATCACACAAATTATAGCGAATCAGTGTTATTCTCAGTTGTTTGAGAAAAGTAAGTACATTATTTTTATTAAATTTTAGTTTTATACTCGTAGCTAGTAGCAAAGATAAATAAATTACGCCAATCATGACTTCAGTTATTAGTAGTTTAATATTCAAACATACTTCTACATACTTCTCTATATTAAAATTAAAATTTTGTTTATTGCTAAAGTGGAACCAGTGAATTTTTACACATGACAGTCGAATATATAATATTTTATTTTAACATTTTTTTGTCATGTTACTTTCAAATTTCCTTAAAGTTCCATCATATGAAAACTTTAAGTAACATTCATAACATTCCCCTTCTCATATTCATTTATAATGGCTGTACGCCTATGCCTGCCATAAAATCTAAGACCATACGATTTAAATATGACTTTGATTTTTTAATATACAGCTGCTGGACTTTATGTCTTATTTAAATAGATTAATTTCGGCCACAGATGACTGATGCCATGTCCGAATCTAAAAAGAAATGTAGACAGTACAGTGTTGATTATTTGCCTTTTAACAAAGTTTTGGGCAATGACGCTATGAAACCATCTGAGCTGCAGGATCATCTGAGAAGATGTCACCCTCATAAAACAGATAAAGAAGATTTGAAATACTTTCAAACACTCAAAGATAAACACTCAGAAGAAACCCACGCTGGACAGAATGTTCGCTTCGACGTCAGAAAGAAACGATGATGGTTTGCGGGCGTCTTACAATATCTCGCTACTTATAGCAAAATCCGGAAAATCGCATACTATCGGAGATCGGAGAGAAGTTAAGAGGTTTTAAAAAGTGTTTTACACAAACCTGCATCTGATATCATTAAAAGAATTTCCAGTTAGCATTTCACTGGATAAAAGCGCATGTCGGGAATGAAGGTAACGAGAGGGCAGACCAACTGGCTAGATCTACATCTGGCGCAGATGAATCCGACACGCAAGCGACCAGTCTTCCTACCACTAACTACGCCAAGTACTCCATGGGAACCCTCAAGTCGCTAATATCTCGGGACTCTGCCGAAACTTGGCGAAGAGAAGGTGGAGCAGCTCACCAGGCGGTACAACTGATCACGCGGGGCATGGCAAATTCGGACACTACCGAAAGCGAAGACACAGTCCAGCATTGCTGGTTCCGCTGCCCTTTGCACACCACCTGGAGAAGCAGCGCAGAGAGGAATGACTCTACAAGGCTTACCATGGCCACAGAGAGATGAAGATATTTTAGAGATGCTCGTAGTATATGTTTATTGGAGTATAATTCATGGCTAGTTACAATATGTGTGTGATACACAGGATGGATACATATGTTACAAAAGTTTCTTACAGTATAATGGGTCCGAGGCCCAAGGGCCAATACAGAGAATACACACGAGATAATACAGAGAAACTTACATGTTATTAAGACACAGGAGTAGCGGAAGCGAAGACAGGAAATAAGAGAGTAAAGAGAAAAGAGAAAAAAGAGCGGGTACAGAAATGTTGTCGCTTATATACCCTAACCAGGTAGATCCCTTATCAGACCTTCCCGGAATACCAGCTGCGGGCTGGAGTGGGGCGCACCGTACCGGGCTTGTAGGTGACGTCATAGCTAGTGATTTGATCCGTGGAGCGAATGCATTCGGAAGCGTCGTCGAATTGAACTCCGGATGATGCCTAGCTTGTCGAATGGTAAGGGTGAAACGCTTGATTTCGGTGCACAGAGTGAGCCATATCTAGAAGGATGTCCAGGGGATTCGCCGCTGCTGGACAGTCACATCGGCACGTCTTAATGCCGTATTGGAGTTCTACATTGGTACGGTTGAGGCGGAGAAGGTTGTTGTCTTCCAGTTGTCCAGGGGATTCGCTGCTGATAGACAGTTACATCGGCAAGTCGTAATGCCGTGATGGAGTTCTCCTCAAGAGCAGGGTATGATCCATATGGAGTCGTACCGTGCTACTCGTCTTATCGCTTG